TGCACTATTCTTAACACATTAAAAGCATTGAATTAAATATATATTATAAAACAAGACACAAAAGACAACTATTTAAGGTTGCGTTTTCACTTTTTTAAATATAAGTAAATTTGCAAGTAAATAAGTGACGCAAAAGCTAAAATCGCTAATATTTAAAAAAAATCATGCGAATTTTTAGAATTGTCAATATTTGCTTAATATTCACACATTACAAGTCATACAGCGTTTTTTAAGGGAACCAACGGCCTAGTAATTATTTTTCAAGTACAAGGTTGCTTTCACTAATGAGTTAGGTAAACACGCACTCGGTATATATAGCCAATACCATTGTAAAATTTGACAAAAAAAAATATCTACGATAATCAAAACCACAGAGTAAGTAGCATTTCATTTTAAGGCAAGTTGGATATTACGCCTATCGACTTAATTAACAATAATTGAGATTTGGATTTTTTAAAATACGGAGATTCATGTTTTTTTGAAAATAGAGATTATTTTTCATTTTATCAAAAACTAATCAATGTTATATATCTCCAAAGCGTGCGGTCCTATATTGCAAATCTCAATGGATTTATAAAATTATCCACTTTTTGTTGAAAATCCTTAAATATTTGAAAATGTTTAATAGATTTTGAAGTGTTTTAGAACATGACTCTACCACTACGCAAAGTTTCTTTTTCAACAACTTTCAATAATTTTAGAAAATGTAGAAAGGTCAACACCCATATACATACACAAACTTTTTGCAATTTTGATATAAAACGATTCAGAATGAATTGAAACGTCAAAAATCCTAGAATGTTTTAAATGTTTACATTTGTTCTAATATTCATAAAAGTTTGTATTTTGGATTTTCAGTTAATTTGTATCAATGAACAAATTTCTTTTTAAATATAATTGCCCTTCTGTATGATATCAGAATAATTAAGAAAATAAAATCGAAAAATTGTAACATAAAACTCGTTGCTATGAAGTAATATCTCAATGACCAGAATCTTCCAACTTATTAATAGAACAAATAATTAAAATTTAATGAACTAACCTATTCAACGACCCAATATGAAATGTTTGTTATTGCACAAATCAAGGGCAAGATTATCATATTATTTATCATAACACTTTTATTGCGATTTGTAATCGATTCGAACGTCATAGGCAAAGAGTATTTTTACCGAGCATTGAAAATTTGTAGGATTATTCATTGAAATATGAAATTGGCAAAATATATTTTGAACAGTAGCTCATGAATGATGAGTGATATAAATTAATTTCTAATGAAGGAATACTGATATATAATTTTAGGCTCCCACGATTCGGAAGTGCATACTCAATCAAATCATTATGAGAGTCAATCAATTCAAATTTCCATTAGCATAGTTTTACAAATATCGAAATTCAAACGAATATTAATAATAACCGCAATTTGTTTAGAAAAATTAATTAATGTGAGTCTTTATGAGGTTTCATCAAATAATATTAAAAGATTTCAAATCGGTGCAGCCGTTTTCACAAGAACCTCGACGAAATTTCTTCTCACAAAAGCGCTGCCCGTTATTCCAAATTTAAACTAGTTGGTATTAGTATTTTGCCTTGAGGCAAGTTACATGAACTTCCCGATATATGTAAATAATCGACTTAATCAATAAAATATAGATTCATTACACATAATTGAAAACGAACGAACACGTTAACTCGGAGTATTTTCTAAAAGCAAATTTTCAAAAACCAACGATTTTCATAATTGAAGCAGTTTCCGTAGGACTTTAATGCTTTAGTTTGTTCATTAAGACCAAGTACTCTATCGTTATACCAAGTAAATCGTTTAATTTTAAATTGAACAAACGTCAAAAAAACTACTCATTTTCTCAAACTTTGATGAATTTTTAAAATTAAACTACATGTCGTAAGGCCGTAATATTTCAGTAAGTTCTGTAAGACCATGACGTATATAGCAAAAAAATGTTCCATAAAAATCGGCTTAATTTCTTTTTTCAACAGTTAATTACAAGAAAACGGCTCGGTAGATTTTCACCTAAAACTAATCAGTATCATTCCCAATAACTAATATCTTTCGAACAGTTTTTGACTTTACAAAATCGATTCGGTAGTTTGAGCTTAAATGTGGATGAGACGTTTAACACTATTTCCCAGATGACAAAGAAATGGCTTGGCAGATCGTCGCACAAAACTGACAAACGATAGTCCCCATCGAGATACATCAAATGGCTTTTAAATTTCTGAAATCGGTTCAGGCGTTTTTGAGAAAACGTCGATTAAAAGTCTAATTTTGAAAAATGCCAAAAAAACGAAACCAGTTTTTGCAAACTTTGACGATTTTTTAAAGTTAAACGAGTTGTCGTAGGGCCGTAATATTTTAGTATGATCTAGAACTATGGTGTCTACCGTCAAAAAAATAATAATAAAAATCGTCGAAAAAAAAATTTAACACTTTATTACAAGAAAACGGCCCGGCCGATATCCACCAAAGACTAATCAGCACGATTCCCAACCAATATCTTTCGAACGGTTTTTGAATTTTCAAAATCGATTCAGAATTGCGAGTCTAAAAGTGTATGAAATTTTTTTCACTTTTCTGCGATTTACAAAAAAACGTCGGCTCGGCCGATCGTAGCGCAAAACTGACAAACGATAGTACTCATCTAGATACATCGAATGGCTTTTAATTTTTTGAAATCGGTCCAGCCGTTTTCGAGAAAACGTCGATTTACGGCAAAAAATCTGTTCACATACACATACACATACACACAAACACATACTTTTTCCAAATTTGGTCTCATTCGATTCAGAATGGTTTGAAACGTCGAGAAAACATAAAATTAGCGAATAGGATTTTTTATGAAAACAAACTTCTCCTTCGCGAAGTTAATAATAAATTAAATTATTTAAATTAAACGACTTATCGCAGGCTAATAATATTTCAGTCTATTTTTGAAGAGCATAAAAATCCATTATCAACAATTTCAAATTTAACCAAAAACCAACAATTAATTATGAAGGAAAGTCTCAGCCGATCTTTACCAAAGACTAATCAGAATTTTCTAACCTTTCAAACAAATTTTGGGTTTTTAAAATCAGCTCAAAATTTCTGGTTAAAACTTGTACAACTAGTGGGGTGTATGGCATCGTGCCTTAAGGCAAATTGCTGGAACTTCCAGTACCGTAACGAAATGTTTGAGAAATACTGAATGTTTTCAAATAGATTATTATAAATATTGTAACATTGGCTAATATTCATAAGAATTATATAAACGGAACTGCAAAGTTGATATTATCTGAATTATTTTCTATATACAAAAAAAACTAAAAAAAAAAACAAAAATACATTTTTTTTTCCAAAATCAATTATTTTGTTGAAACAAGCTGAAAGTTCTTTGAATCATTCAAATCGGATGCTTACTTCTCTTAAAAACTGTCATTTTTGCACATATACCTATGTATCTCCGAAACCGCTAGACCTGCCTTTGCCAAAAACTAATAATCACTTCTCCCAATCATTACTAATTGAATGTTTTTAGATCATTCAAATCGGGTGCTCCGTTCACTCAAAAACTCGATTTCTATTTTTTATGCACTCTTTATCCGTATCTCCGTAACGGCTGGACTTGCCTTTGCCAAAAACTAATCAGCATATCTTCCTATCAATAGGAATCGAATGTTTTTTGAACCATTCAAATCGGTTGATCCGTGCGCCCGAAAACGTGGACGAAAAATTGTATCCATACATACATACACACACACATCCATTTTTTCTAAGGTATGCCAAAATGTTCAGAAACCTTCAAAACGTCGAGAAATGTAAAAATTTTCAATTTCGATTTTCGGCGCATTACAATAACTTACCCTACCGGAAGTTAAAAAAAAAAACTTTTCTGGCAATTACGAAAAATCAGCTTGGGCGATTGTTGTGCAGACTAATCAATGCAAGCTCATATTAAGAAACATCGAATGGCTTTTAAATTTTTTAAATTGGTTCAGTCGTTTTTCAGAAAACGACGGCAAAAAAACTACATTTCGAGCATACGCACACTACCAGTATTTACTAAAATTATCGTAGTTACAAGAAAGACAAATTAAAATTATACTCAATAATATAACAAGCCAAAATTTCCAACAATTATTATTTTCAATAATGGTTAATAGTTTGACCTCGCACATAAGTTGTCATTTAACTAATTTTGTAGACAATATAACAGTTCCAATAGTACCAAATAATGACTGATTTTTATATAAATAGAATTTTCTTCTCAAGAATATAAGTATGATTCTACAAGCATATTTCCACACAAAATTGAAATGTTCGGATTACTGAATTCTATTGAAAAAGTATTAGGTAATGAATAAAAAAATACATTGCATTACGCGACAATCTTCAGAACAGGCCACTCTTATCTGCATTATAAATTCTATTTATTTTATTTATAAAATGTAGGAATGCCTGTACTGCAGATTCGTTGCCAGATAATGATAATTTCTCACCTGATATGATTAATCGACGGATACCAAGCATAAGCTTTCTATATTTATTTAACCAATCATCCCTGGCATGTAATCATCTCCATGGGTACAGAATTATTAGACATGGCAATCTTTCAAAGTGTTGATCTAGTATATATATACCAGTGTATGATGATTAAATTTCAGTAGACTGCCATTAAGTATAATATATGAGCTTGGTGACATGAATATCTGAACCTGCAGTGCAACATGTTAAAATAAAGAATACTAAAATTAATTAAAATTATTAGATTTAAAATCACAAAAATTTATGCTGTCAAATTGAGTATGTATCTAGGCATAATGTATAAAAATAAAAATGTATTGCCAATATTTTAAGTCACCATAATGTTATTTTGGCGTACTATACTTTGACAAATATTTATCATGTAATTTACTAGATTAGGATTTCAAATAATTTATAAACTGGATATACTTCTACTACCAATATTTGAATATGATATGAATGCATGTGTGTATGTATACTTATTGCATATTAAGATGCATTAACATAGAATTTAAATCTCTTGTTACGTATATTTAGATATCATACATACTCAAAATAGTGATATTTACAATAAAAATATAATTTTCTTAAACCTATATTAAAATATAAATAAATAGTAACAACATTAAAATAACATGACAATCATTAGTAGATTTGCTATCCCTTTTATGGGCACTTATAACGCAATACTATTCAAATTTGGGCTGCAGAATACTCGCACTCACTATAATAAAGAGATAAATATTATGGTCTAAATTTATACATATTGCCTATATGTTCTATCAATATTTACAATGTGATAGTCATGTTTGGCATGGCCTAATCAGTCAAATTTTGATCTAGAATTGTCATGTTTCTAGAAAGTAACATGTAAAATATTTGTATACAATACCTATAGATGAATCACATATGAGGCCATACCATAGTTATATATATAACAACAATATAAGGCTATATTTTTACTTATACTGTGCGACAAATTCTTTGTGAAATACTGCAAATTTATCCAACATTTCTTTCAATTTATCTGTTTGTGGCAAAATAGTGGTCCTGAAATGATAAGTTCCTGGTTTCTGACCAAAACCTGAGCCAGGTACAATACAAATTCCAGTTCTTTCTAATAATTCAAATGCATAAAACACATCTGCTGGCTTTCCAGCCTTGTCAGCGGCATCAATTGCTTTTTGAGGTAGTTTAATTTGAGGGAAAGCATACATAGCTCCTTGTACAGTGTTGCACGAAAAACCTTCAAAACTGTTAAAAGTGTCTGCTACCATCTTAGCACGAATTGCCAATTGAGAAAGTACTTCTTGTTTCTCTTTCATAAACAATTCATATGAAGGTTCGCCAGGTCTAGGAGGGTTTACCTAAAACAAATAAATTAAACAATAAAGTTCAGTACTTTATAGTTCCTTTAGTGAAAGTTATTTTTTTTATCAAAATATAACAATTCTACATATAATTATAGTGTGATCAAAATTAAATTCACAACAAATTTCATACAATATCAGCATATGCTTGTATTTAATATATTTAATCTTTTAATATACTTAACTATTTGCAATAATTAAAATTATAAAAAATTGCAAGAATAGTTATATAACATAGAATTGTACTTCTATAACACAAATTTAATCTAACATGCTTTGAGAATTGAGAATAACCCCCTTATAATAAGGCTTATAAAGCACTTATACAGCTCATTTCAACTCTAACACTCCTTGAATTGAATCAAAATAAAATATAAAATAGAAAAGATATAAAAACCGCCACATCTTAAAAAATGTGAAAACTAGCACAAAAGATAAGTCATTAATCATTTTTCATTCAAGGGTGTATGTTTCATTCTAAAAAGGTCTAGATTTGTCTGCACAGTTATTCATATTTTTTAAATAAATATCCTTCAAATAAAATAGACAAACATCAAAATGAAACTACTTATTAACACAATTAATGTTGTATTACTTCTTAAAAACATAAATAAAAATAAACATGTCTCTATTATAAAAATATGATAGCATGTTTTTATGAATTATTAAAACCTAACCCTTATTTTTGTACCAATCCTTTCTTTTATATAAATGGTAATTTTTTGAAATGTAACTATCACAGGGACATTTGTAATTTGGTTAGCACAGTTCACATACTTTATAATCAGCAGGTCACAAATTTGTAAATAGTTTTTACACTTATTTTCAATAGATCAGTATAGACCACCCGCATCATAATAAATTAATCAAAGAACTGTTACAGAAATTTCCGAAAAAAAATAATTTGCGATAAAAGCAAAAATGCATTCCTTATGAAACTTGAACTTGTAATTGTCTATTCAGAAAATTCATTTCAATATATTTAATAAATAATACTAAATACAATACCACACAGTCCAATGCAGATTGGCCTAAAGTTGTAGGGCACAACATTGCAGAAATACATTTAAGTAACATGGCCTTGACATCAGGGCACATATTTATAATTTCCATCATTCCTCCTCTCATTCCGCACTCGCCCATGTATCCTTTCGAAGTAGACATGAATGAAGCAAGTTCAATCTCATCATAAGGAGGTCCCATTTCTCTCAGAACCTACAAAAAGAAACATGATAAATAAGTAATTCTTTTTCAATATTATTTATTAGCAATCTCATGAGTAAACCCTTTAAGAAATTAATATTATATATTGAAAACATAAAATAGTATTGCTGATATAAGCAATACTACATTACCAGTTATAAAAATTATTTTACTACGTTTATTATATCAATTACCTTTTTAAATGAGTAAAATTTAGAACCTTCAGCATATACATTGTCCTGATATACTTCATCAGCAAATATCATCAAATCTTCCTGATGTGCAAACTTAATAACTTGTTCTATGTTCTCACGACTTAGTACTTGGCCAGTAGGGTTACCTGGATTAATAACAACTATAGCTCTGGGAAGAATGTTATTACTCTTTGCTTCAGATATTGCCCTATTCAATTCGGATACATCCAAACCCCAACCGGTCTCTTCATTAAGATAGTATCCTATTTGCCCCATGTTAAATTCAGCAATTGTTGCAGAATAAAGAGGATATTGAGGTATGGGCACCATCACACCTATAAAGAGAAATTCAGGGTTGATTTAATAAAACAATATAATAAAATTATATTAAGTAGTTTTGAACAAGTGCAATAAACACTTTTTATTATACCAAAAAAAACTCAATTTAAATCTATCAACTGTTACTACATTTCTGATATTTTAAAGCAAAAAATTAATATAATATTAAAATAGAATATTCAAATTATAAATAATTAGTAAAAAAATAAAATAACTCTTATTATCTTTCCCACTCACAAATCAAGAATAAAACAAACCTGGTTTCTTATTGTCTAAATGACATGTAAGCAATTGCAAAAGTACTTTGATGCCTCCCGAAGCTCCAGTAGATAAAATAATGTCATCCGGACTAGATGGTACACCATCTCTCCTTTCAATAAATTCTGCAGCATGCTTTTTAATAACATCAATTCCAGTTGAGTCAGAATAAGAACCAGCCGAATATCCTTTACAACTTTTTAATATTGTATCTGCTCTTTCTTTAACATCTGAAGGAAAATCTGGGCTATCCATTAATGGTGGATATGCAACTAGAGCAAGTACCTAGTAATAACAGATAGAATAAATAAATTATGTGCAATCACACATACAGATTAAGAATTAGATGATAATATTGATAATGATAACATTTTTCAGTTGTCTGATTCATGCATTTGGATCTAATTACATATTGCCATAAATAACATTTGTCAGATTTACATTTTAGATTGTGTTCGAGCCTCACAAATTTTATTTATCCATCTTCCTCTACCTGACATAATAAAATAAATCTTACCCTAGTATAGGTACTAAGCTAGTTATAAGAAATTATTCATTCTGTACGTATACCTTGACCCGATAACATCTAATACAATTTACTAAAATTATACACATTGCATTTCTACAAACAATTTTGAAACTAGTTATTATTTTCCATTCAGTTCTTTGTTATTTCAGATCTGATATAGCCTTTTTGATAATTAATTATATCTGGTCCTTCGGGGTAGTAAAGTGTCTGTGTAGTGATTTTTTAATTGACTTTGTTAATAACAATTGTGCCGGTAGCCTTCAGATTGAGTAAATATTTAATACTATCACTAATGTGAAACTTGAAAACAATATTTGTTTGATTTGTGAGTAACAATTTCATGGTTATAGTGTGTGAAATAGAAATTCGATCTAATAGAATGTAAAGGAACAAAGAAGGAATGTTTCTAAAATAGAATGCAAAGGAACAAAGCTCCGAAAAGAAATCATAACACCAATTAAACAAAATTTAGTAATTAAAATGTTAATAAAATACAATAATCAATATATATGTATCACTCTCATACAATTATATAGAAAGTGTTGTATATATTATCACTTTATGAATTACTAAATATTATTTTTATAAAATGCCCCTGACTATATTAAACAAAATATCTTGAAAGTAATACATATGTAGACAAAAAAGTATATATATGCCATATTCATATACAGTCAATAAACACGGAATAAAATATTTAATAATTTAAGATAAAATCAATATAATTTCTTATAGTTTATGGGAATGAAATTATAAGTTACAGTTACAGTTTTTTTCAAACTAAACAACTAATAAGAGATGTAAACCTATACTAACATATTAATAAAATCTGTGCAAACTCTTGGCGCAAACAAACTGTTGAAGTTTAATACTAAACGCTCTGTGTCTACTATGTTTATGTATATATGTTTGTCTTTTGTTTTATGTAAAACAAGTGATTGTTAATAATGTTTGTAATGAATGTGATTAGTTAAAGAATATATAATCAGCCAGTCTGTTTTTATCCTTCTTCATAAACGGTTGTATTATTATTCACATAAACTTTCAACATAAATTCTACACAAACAAAACGTATAACTGTTGTGGTCATCAATTAAAAGAAATGTATCAAAATAACCTCATTGTGAACCAACTTATTAAAACACAAATAAAAGGTTTTGCACATTAATATGCCATTTCATTTGGTATGTTTGTGCACGCATAAGTGAACAATATGAATTATGCTTATCAAGTTGAACTTATGAACACAATTTTTTAAGTGTTTAAGACACTAAAGTGCAAACTCTTGGCACAAACAAACAAAACTTTTAGGTTCATCAATTAAAAGAAATGTATTGTATATATTTCATTAGGCATTATTGTGAACGCAGAAGTGAACAATATGAATTATGCTTATCAAGTTGAACTTTTGAACACCACTTTTTATGTGTTTAAAACACAAGAGAGTTTAAGACAAATGATTAGGTAACAGATAAATTATCTAAAGTCTAGTTAAATAATATAGAAAATTAAATATAACAGAATAAAACGGAGTACATTAATATCAATAAATCAAGATATACATGGACATTACACAAGAAAACATGAAAATTTTGACATTGAACACAACAGAATAAACAAAATATTACATGGAGCGTTACTAAAATATATAATAAACGTTCGTGCGATATAAAGATGTCTAGTGATAACACTAATTTCAAAAGAAATATTGTAAAGAAATTGAAGACGCAGGAGTTTGATGCTGAATAGCCGACTGAATGGAAGTAATTCTCAAAAATATATTGCAGATACTAACCTGTCTAATAAAAGTAATAGGCTTTTGTCCCATAGCATGACAATCACCAATATTTGCTTTGATAACCTCTGTGAAAGGTTTTTTGGCACCCTAAATAAATAATAAACATAATTAGTATAGATTTCGAACATTTTAATACAGAATATTAACAGAATATAAATCTTAGCTTCTTAGAAATGTATATATTAAAAACTATCTGACACTCAATTTATGACATTCATTAGTATGCATTTATGATAAAATATTCGCATATAAATGTGATTTTAGTTCGTTGCGATAAATACATATATTAATACTAATCATTCAAAGCGATATATTAACAAAAGTGAATGAAAAATATGTGTTGTCAAATCATAAAATCAATATGTAATTACCTTTTCCAATTCCTTTTCAATTTGTGTAGCTCTAATAACTAAAGGACCACGAACTGCATATTCCATAATTTTGACATTCGGATTAATGTTTTCCATACAGACCCTTCTTTTGGGGCCATTTCGGGCACTTGTAGTACTTAAATTGCAAGACATCGTCACTGAAACCGGGTGAATATTGCACGTCAAGGTCCTCGTCTGAAACGCTCCAACTGATATCGAGAATCGGGCGGCCGACATGATGAATGATAAATGTCACTCAATTGTTTTAAATAAGTGTATCGATTATTTTTTCCACCTTGAAAATAAATAAACGCAGTAGTGTCAAATGTGTAATTTTTCAAGCATCGTAATAAACACAACAGCACAAACAATTGGAAGTCGGATTCGGCACGCACGGTTATGAAAACTTAGCGAAATGTCAGTCTACAACTCGAACTGCAAAATGCATTCAACACATATTCTTAGCTTTGTCTACGAATGGATAGTTCGTTAGTCCGTTTTCCAGAGGTTAGTAAGTTATCAAGACATATGTTTCTAAAATATTTCCAAGTTGTCGTTAAAACTTTTTGCAGGTTCTTACCTAACCACCTTTGACATCGGTTTACGAGTGCGCAAATCCAAAAATAGAGATCTGTTACAGAACATAAGTGTCGCAACGTGCAAATTAGTACTAATAGTTCTAATACATACTAGTTTATAATATTAGTTACGTTTTATTTTCTATGTAAACAGACTAATGTGCTTAAATTACTTGCCGCTTAAATTTTCATTTCCTTCTCACCTTTTCTAATTTTATTGCCTAATCATTGGACTAATTTGTCACTCAAAGTGTAAGTTCCCACTACGGTCTTAAATGTTTTAGAAACACGTGAATTATATTTTTTATTTTTATCAAAAATTCTTTATTTGTTCGAGATAAAGCATGTGTTATCTATCTAATAACCTTAAAGTGATCAAATATTTTTGTCTGGCTATAGTTCAAATGCGAACGGATTAATCCAGTTTAGTTAATGGAAATTACTTCAACTTACTAAATAGTTTCATTCATAAAATCATTAATATTATGGGATTGCAGGGCCGGATTTAGAAATTTGGCGCCCTGGGGTACTGACAAAATGCCGCCCCATCCCTGAATTTTTAGGTAAAATAGTTTTTTTATATATCATTTTTCTAAAATTAAAATTA